GCGACGTGGGGGTGACGGGTCTCTGCGGCTCGCATCGGGAGCCTCTGTGGGACTGCCTGGATGGGTGGCGGCGTTGGCTGCTAGCACGGGGCCCTGCAGTCTTGTCCCTTTGCTCCCGAGGTCATGAACCGTTAGCATTCCTTAGCCTGCTGCCACTGCAGACGTGGCCCTGGAGTGTGCCGGCTTCCTCACCGGGATCGGGCTGGACACCACCGTCCTCATGCGCAGCATCCCCCTCCGCGGCTTCGACCAGGTAGCGCCTGCAGCCCCAGCTCCCACCCCACTGCTCTGCTCCCCCGGGGGCTGCGCTCCCTTCCGCCCACCATCCAGGTGTGGGCTGGGAGTGAGGTCAGAACCTTTAGAAAGGGGCCTTTGAGGTGAACGAGGAGATTGTTCAGGAAATGCAAAAACACACATGCCAGGGCTGGCCACTCAGCTCAGGTGGCTTGAGCGTGGTGTTGAGAACACCAAGGTCAAGGGTTGGGTCCCTGTACTGGACAGCTGCCAAAAAACAAAACAAAAACCACGTGCCAGAGCGTGGAACGGAGGGGTTGGCGGTGGAGTGTGCGTGCAGCTGTGCAGAAGCACCGCACCTGGGGACCAGGTGGGCAGCCAGGCCCAGCCTCATGCATGGCAGGTCGGTCACTTCTTCCAGTCATTTCGTTAGTAAGGGGCGGGTGTGTGTCACAGATGTGCCATCCCCACCGCCAAGACCCCAACTCTCTGCTCCCTCCTTGCTGAGCCCCTCTGGGGTCTGAGTGGGGGTGCCACCTCACCAGGCGGGACGAGTGGGTGGGAGACCATCTAGGCCCTGGGTGACCATCTCAGGAGACAGCAGTGCCAGCCACCCCCCATGGGCTGGAATAGGACACAGCACACTAGCCAGGATGAGCCTGCAGTCCCCCGGTGGGAGCCACCAGCACAGCTTGTGAAAGCGGCCTGGCCCGTCTGCCATGCGGGGGCAGCCCCAGCTCCAAACGAGCCTGGGCTCAGGCCTTCCTGACAGCCGCAGTGCTGGAGTTCAGAGGTGCCACCTCACGGTGTCTGCACAGGCGCCCTGTGCACAGCTGTCCTCGTCCACGTCTGGGACGCAGACGCCCCTGGCAAGACAGGCTCCCACGATTGTAGTGACAGAGATTTTCTTTAACTAGATACTCTCCAAGGGAAAGTCACCTGTTAAAATCCAAGTGTGAGGTTGTCATTGTTGAGATGTCAAACACTCCATGCCTCCATGAAGGAGGACTCATTGCGTGGCAGAGTCAGCT